AGCGAATTTTGAGAAAATATTAGGTTAAGTTTTTCAAAATATGTTGCTGTAACACACAAAAGAATACTATTTTATGGTGCTATGCTTCATAATTTTACATAATAATCCCATAAGCAATTTCATGTGATTTATGACCAACTTCAACCTTATGTACATAACTCCTTATATAGACATGGTATGTTTCTGAACAACCACCATATGTATGTGTCAGTCAATACAGTTTTTGTCATTCTCATAAAAAAAAAACTATTTATATTATAAACTATATTATCACCTGTGGAATTATTCCTCCTTGATCTATTTCATTTTTACCCATCATAGTGTATGATTTACCAGAACCAGTCTGTCCATATGCAAATATGCATATATTGTACCTGGAATAGATTGAAATACAAGAGTGAACAAAACTCATCATGAATGAAGGGAGTACATCAACTACATTGTATAACATACAAAATGATTTCCGCACGTGACCATGTGACCTAATCATCAGTTGTTTTGTAAATTGTACCAGAAGCATCCAAATTGCCAGACGGCACCATTTGTAAGGAACTCAAATTTAGTGATTTGTCTGGGCTCTGACTGAGATGTAAACACACAGTGATATATGTAGGATAAATTTTTAATATTTTTAATAAAGCTTTAAAGAAGTGTATTCCCAATGGAAGAACATACAAGTTAAAACAATAAAAACATTTAACCATTAAAATATTATTTATTTTGATGATCAAAATACCTCAATAATTTACTGTAGAATACTTTATTTTCGCTTGGAATTTATTTTCGCTATTTTCGCTGAAGGGATGATTCCGTGAAAATAAAATCTAGCGAATATACTTTTTTTCCTATATTTCACATTAAACTCATCAAAAATCAGTGAAAATAAATTCCATACAAAACGCCCAAAAAGCCTTTTCAGCGAAAATTAAATCCAGCGAAAATAAAATATTCCACAGTATGTACTCAGTGGATGCATAGGCCAGGTCTATGACATTGAGATATCATTCGGCAGATTAATTATCAATTACAACACTGAGAAGGTTTATCCCAAATAATATCACATTACATGTATGTAAGGAGTCACCCTCTTAAGTTAAGATGCAATCAATTATAGAAGAGACTGAGCATATAGGACAGGACAAAAGATGCAATTAATTATAGGAGACTGAGCATATAGAACAGGACAAAAGATGTAAAAACGAAAACAGAAAATATCAAGGTCTAACAACTCATTTAATTTTCACTATCTTGAACAGAAACATGGGATTTTTCATTTATCGCATTAAATCATGGGAAGAAAAATTATAAACAATTTGCAACACAAAAACAACAACTTTAACAATTTAATTTGAGCCATATTTTATAGGCTAAAACAGTTTATTATATTATAATTGCCATTTGAAACATGATATTCAGAAAACTAAATATGTCAAGTTTGAAAGTAATGTGATTGCAGTATAATGTGGTGATCTTGGCACAGCATGTGTTTGAAGTTTATGTAAATAAACAATGTACGTTCAAGATAGTAAGAACTAACTGATCATCTCAATTTTCTAGTTTATCATTTGAGATTAAATATTACAAACCCTTCAAATGCATGAGCCAACATCTCCTCTCCAATATCGTTATAAACTTGAATCTGTGATGCATATTTAGGATCTGCCGGCTGAGAAAAAACACATTTATTTGAAAACAATATAATATAAGAAATATGAATTATTTTTATGTATTTCTGACCAGATGTAGAAACAATACTACTATGATAACAAAGTGAAAATAACAATAATAATTGCTTGAATAGTTTATTTGTGTTTCTGGTGCATAAGATAGTCCTAGTGGTTATATCAGTAACTTGCAGGCACATTAGAAGATAGTTCACTATGCATAAGACCACTAGCTAATACACACTTTGGAACAACACAACAATTTCAGCAGAATACAAAAACATATAATTTGCATATTTTACCTTAAATATTTAACTTGTTTTGAACTTGAATGTCTATTGCTTGTATTTTTCCCAGGAAGAATAATTGTAAACGTCTTATAGTGATAATGAAGTTGCCCCCCCCTCCCACACCCCTGTGGGTCATGGATACCAGGATGTGTGACCTTGAGGGGTCCTATAGTGCCAGGATGTAAAGCATTTAGTAAAGTTGTTATAGCAACAATATAAAGATACTTACTGAAGTATGTGACCAATGTGAGTAATCAAAGTTAAAGCTTTTGTTTTCTTGAGTTTTAGGATTTATGATTGCTGTAAAGAAAAATAGATAGTAATTATTAGTGAGAATGTTTCAACAACTGAAGCTGCTTGAAAAAATGAAAATGGAATATTAAAAACATTTTGTCTATTGTTTGATCCATAATTCTTGGGTATTTCAAGAAAGGTTTTATTTGTTTATACCCTAGTCGCATTACGGTACACTGGTACTGTCAATACCACTATTACCAGAAATGAGATACCATCATCATGATCACGGATTGAGCCATGTGACCTGATATTATGGTTAAATATGTCATTCTTTATATGTCTATGTACAGCAAGTGTGTGTAGTTGAACAGAAAGCTAGTTTGAATGATAGCTACAGAATAAAAGTAAAAATAAGCTTGACTAAACTGGCAATCGTTGGGTGATGTAAGGATGGTTGAAAGGATAGTCTATCTGAGTTCCAGGCAAACGATTGATATATAATAACAAGTTACATAAAATACTTGTCTTTAATATTTAGCTCTAAACATTTTATTTATGTTTAGTAACTACCCCAAGATGAAAATAGCCTTAATTTTCAATCATTAAAACAGTACAAGTGGCAGGGTTCATCAAACTTCTTTTCAAGTTATAGCTTTAAAAAAAAACTAAATTTGTATTCAAAGTGACAGCTAATTTTGGCTTTACAGTATATGTATGGCAACAAAATAAAACATTTTTCATGGAAAAATTGCATGACTTGTGTGCATGTATGTTCTTGTGTTCAGTGGTTTACCAACATTATTAAAAACATAGATCTAAAAACCGCTTAAGGAAAATATGTAGGAGGCTTTTTTCTATAGTTCATCCCATAATAAAAGTATGGCAAACAAAATGATCAATGTGCATATGAAATTGCATAAACCATATAAATGATTTTTCAACATTTTCATAACATCAATATTAAAAACCAATTACAGTTCCACTATATATACCATTAAATTACTTCCTTAATATATGAATTCATACAATTTACAAATCGATGCAGTGAATACAAATCTTTGAAATTTATTGAGTACAATAAATATAGCACATGTTAGAATGAAGCTAATGAATCAATATGAATATTTTGAAATGTGAGTGCAAGTCATTTTTTCTACTTAGAATCTGAAATACATAGAATAAATCAAAATTACCGTAAAATCTGTATTAGAAGCCGCATCCCTAATAGAAGTCGCATCCATTCTATTTGAATAATTGAGAACCAAAAATTCATCATTTCTCATATGTGTAGATGCTCTAATAGAAGCCGCATCCCCTCTGTTGCATTGTACCATTTTAATAGAAGCCGCGGCTTCTAATACAGATTTTACAGTAAGTAGTTTTTGCTAACTTATATATACTCCTGTCACATGTGCGAGTTATTTGTTGGTTATATATCAAATAAAAATATCAAATTTGTACATTCATGAGATAAATGTACATGAAGGTAAATAAATGATGTCTAGAGAATCTTTTCTGAAAAACAAATTAGAAAACCATCATTTGTTTGAAGCAGTTCTGATGCCAGAATACATAAACTGTTTGTGATAATTTTTAAAGCAGATGAGGTATCACCTGTGTGAAAATTGAGTCATAAGATACAATAACACACACTAAAACGCAAAGGCTCATGGGTAGACTCTGTGGTCATCTGGCACATGCGCAGGTGAACAATCCCCCGCTTTAAGCTTTGATTGAGTATAACAAACATTTTGTTAATTATAACTAAGCTTTGCTCATTGTAGCATGTCTGATTTTTTTTTTCCGTCTTTTACTGAATTAGTTTAGTTCTCTTTTGTTATTCCCATTTTTATGGTATGTGATGTATGAATTAATTAATAAATGACTGGAAATAACATAATTAATAAAAACTCAGTAAGGTTTCATTTATCCATGAAATTACCTGAGACACGACGTAATAGATACACACTAGTTCTTCCATACTTGATGAGAAACGAAAACAGTATTAGCATCTGATGAAAGTCAAATGAACAGCCAATGTACGTACAGCCAGGAGGCACTGACGTCAATCCTACAGTCTACAGCTAAATTGCCTGCCAGTTTTCTACTGCCAAGTATGGCTGTTTAAATTGATTGCAATTTCCAGCGCTGAAATACTGTGGAATAACCTTTGGCTTTCTTCTCTGTGTTATTTACTACCAGGTATTTTTAAAGTCTTTGAAGACACAATCCATGAATAATTGGATTTCTTATTAAGTTTAAAACTGTCTACATTTTTGTTTTTATGAAATTTGTGAAACAGTTTATGATTAAATTTGTTTTTCTTCAGAAAAAATACAAAATCAGTCTCTGCCAGCTTCCAGCATGTATAATGTAAATGTCAACCATATTAAATTTTATGTCAATACATGTAATACAAGATTGTGCTTCGCATAGAATATATAAAGTTCAGTCTATGGTAATTGGCGAAAATCATTTTAATGATATAAATCTCATTTTACAGATATTGACTACCTCATTAAATAATACACAAACATATCATACAAATTTAGTTTCTTGAAGATGAGGTAAATTATGTAAATCAGACTTCTATCAATTAAAAGATGTTAAAAATAAGAAACAGCCACACAAGTTTTATGTTAACATAAATCGTAACAATTAGGAGCAGTAAATCATCTTGCTGCCATTGTGTATGGACAAACATCTATTCCTCATAAAGATATACATATCAGGTGAAGAGCATCCCAAGGCAAGTTTGGTTGCCATGGTGATTTCCTACATCAATGCTCTTAGTACTCTTTTGAGTACAGCTACATGCGAAGCATCGATAAACAATTTGGTTCCAGTCCCCTGAGACTAGATAAATGTCATCCAAAGTATTTATGATTGGCAGCTGTATTGTATTATATTACAAAACTAAATCCTGAACACACCTATCCTAGTACAAAGCTGTGTGCTGTTGGTTTCACTTCACTTTCGCTATTTTTAGATTTTGACATAAATTATATTTTGTACAGAAACGAGCATTTTTATAGGACTATTTTGTGGAAGGATACCAAATCTTAAAATGGTGGTGAAATGGTAAATATATTCAGTGATGAGGCTCAGCTTCATATCGATCAATGTATATTTTTACATTAGGAAATTGAATGCTAAACAAATCTCAGACCTACATATGATTTATTGTCTGTGATTACTTGACTGACTCACGAAAAATCTTTAGCATATTAAATACTAGTACAGGATAATTCCTTTTAGGTATTTTTAAGGATTGATCTCAATTGATCAGCGTATAATGATTTGTAAATTCTCAAATCGTTTATACAACAATGACGCTAAATGTACAAAGAAAAAAGCAAGTGGCTTTTGCTGCCCTTTTTAAATCCATGCGTGAATCTATCAGTTTTTGAATATCATCACCCATACAGACACCCACCCACACACGACGGCCGCAGCGGCTTCTATTGAATTAAATGTGATTTAACAAATAACATCATGACATTTAAATATTGTAATACAGTGTCCACGTTACTATTAACACTGTATGCACAGTATACCATTTAGTTCTTGGAAACCTAATCCATACACACATCGATGATCATTGAATAAGCTTAAACTTTTTAACGTTAACAAAGCAGGATTATCGTTATTATCGGTAGTCTCTCTAGTTTTTGAGTAAAGATACTGAGAGGAAATTCATTTTTAGGATATTTTCTCATAATACTGGATGAACTTTAACACGACAGCCATTACAGGAAGTACAGTTGTCAATGTGTTAAAAGGCATTTACCGCCTGTTACATGTAAGTACAGTTGATGGTATACTGATGGTTTCCCAGCTATGACATAAATTCCTAGGCATACATTCACATGTATACTGTTTCAGAAAAACTGATCAGTAATGGGTTCAACGAGAATGCAATCACGCAGTTTTATCGAAGTATTCCATTAAATATGCTGAACAGTTTTCATTTAATACTTGATTCTAACTTAAGGTTAGTACAAGTTATCCATGGAACAATTTCTGGATTTCTATAGAAAATGTACCAAAATGGCTGATTTTCAGAACATTTGGCAAATATTTTTTTGAAAACACATCATTTTTTCCCCAGAAGTATAAATATGAATAATTTACATGTACGTGAAACACGTACATTACACGACAACTTTTGACTGATTCAATGTGATAAATTTTGTCTGTTTTATTGGTAGCAAACTACCTTATAACCGGATAGTGTCTACATAAGTGATTATGCATATATATGATGAATGGTGATGCCACTCAATACGAATATTACACAGCAACCAATAATGGAAGGATGCTTAAATGCAATTACAGAATAGGTAATGCTAAACATGAAAAAAATCATTTACTATGGTTTATCAGGTTATCTGATCGAATGACCAGACTTCTGAAGAAAAATCTACAAAAATTCCTTGAATTGAGTGTATTTGAATTAAGAGATTAAAACAGCCCTGTTTATTATGACATACAACAGTTTGCTGGTATGACTGACTGCTAAATGTATTTGGCTTATTTATGACATGGCAAAGTTCTCAGTTGAGTCAAGAGAACCTACTTAAAATCTCATAAAACCAGTGAAATTCATAGAATTCCTAAAAGTGTTTGTTAACCTATTAGTAAATGTGTATATAAACCTGTGGATTTACATGGATATGAATTCATAAAATAAGGCAAACATCATTAGTTTTAACATCACAGTGTTTACCTCTCTGACAAGAACAATGTAATCAAAGTACATGCTAAAGACAAGCAAGGGGGCCTAAGAGAAATGTAGCGTCTCCTTGAGGGAAAACAATTTTTGGAAAAATTTTAATGAAAAAAATGAAAAGAATAATCTAAATAACACTACCTACTAAAAATACAACAGGCAGAAAGGATCAGAGAATACACTAACATTCAATTAAAAGGTGAATTTTTCATATTTGTTCATATATCCAAGTAGTATTGAGCTAAAATGACCTTTGTGAATGGAGTACACATACCGTATTTGTAGCACATACACACAGTTACAGTGGCAAGGTGCTTTCAGTCATGAGTTT